TTGTGTATGGTGCCTTCACTCACCATGCCAAAATGGTGATGACCGGTCCCTCCGCTTGATCCACGCCGCACCACGTTCCGGCCATGCCGCGGCCAAGGATGTGGCAATCCCTCGGCGAGCAGGCCATCAAGGTGCCTCGGCAAAGGTTGAGGACGAACGTCAGCGGTGGAGGGCCTCCATGGGCTTCCACCGTTCACCATGGAGGTTGGTCAGGTGGAAAATGGCTGAAGGTTCTGAATTTCGGTGGGTTCAAGTTGTAGAGTATCTCTTGGGACACAAAATCTCAGGCAGAGAGGATTATTCTTGAGAAATGCTGTTTTTGGGCTGCGGCGAGTCCCGATCTTGAATCCAATGGGGCCGCCTGCTCCAAACAGATTTTGATCGGTCCACTGACTTTTATAGCCATCCTGGATGCGGAGTCTACCTCATCAGGCCATGGTGGCTCATCTCATGCAGATTTACATCTTTCGGGTTTTCTTCCACCAACAATGCGAGAAAACCTGCCAGGCGGTTCACGATGGCGCAGCCAAGATCTATGATATTACTATATTTTGTGTGTACAACTACTGTTGATGGAAGACATTCTGCACCACCTGTGGTTTCCAAACCGCCGTCATCATTTAAGTCAGGTTGAAGAAGCCCCTTCGGTTTTAGTTTTTCCCAGATACCTCCGAATGTAGATTGCCCGGGGCTGGGCAGCCCAGCAGCCCGCGAGAGGCCTTTGTAGGATTTCAACGGCACATGGAGATTTACGGTTCACTTGAATTCACCAATGCACTCCTTGCCCCATTTCTGGGCGTTAGAAGAGCGATCCCTTTCCTTCGTAATGCCACGTTTGCCAGGAGTTCTGGCAATGGTGAGGCCCGCATTCACGCGATTCCTAGAACCCGGCAACTGCAGCAGCAGAGCGTTGGCAGGGGCGAAAAGAGTCGAAAATTCACACTTGACCCTTTTGGCGGGCGCTGCTTCTTACATGTCCTGTTCTGCCCATCACCTGAAGAAATATGGTCAACGAACGGGCATGGATTTGACAGGTAGGTTGGTCCGAGAAAACTATGCCTGTGGCACTGAATGAAATCCTAGCTCCAAAAACCCTCCTCGTGCAAACCAGGGACAAGCAATCTTTTGAATTTGACCCTGCAACGTGAACACTTTGGGCTTCCATCCGGCTTTTGGAAGATTGCTGTGACGGAAAGCGATGTAGCGCTTGGAAGTATTACCGAAAGGGAGGGGGGGAGGGGTGGGGGGGCCAAGCTGATGACGGAAAGCGATGAACATCGCTTTGAGTTGCTCCCCGGTAGGTTTTGCCGGGGGGGTTAGGGGGGTGAAAATCTCGCGATCGTGATTTGCAGACTTTTTGGTGGCTTGAGGCAGTATGTTGAAGTTAACGAAACACTGAAAATACAGCAAAAAAAAGAGTTTTTGCATCATTAATGCAATGTTTTTTGACAAAACACGTCAGCATTTTCACAAGGGCATCGGAGACAAAAATGATAGACGAAATGCTAAAAAAGTCGGGGCATTCCACAGCACCACTTGCATCACTAAGAGGTGCATGGGAGGCACAAAGAGCACAGAAGAGACGGAAACAAAGCAAATCAACTTAAGATGAGAATTTTTTGACACCAAGGCCCACAAGAAGACACAAAGAGCACAGAATGGACACAAGCAAGGAAAACCCTTTTGAAAAGAATGGAAAGCACCTGGAAAAATTGACACGGCAACCCCAAAAGTATGAAACCACGCTTTGGGCAGACAACGCACTGGATCAAGGCTAACCTACTTGAGAAGAGGCGAAAACAAGGCAAGCCAACTTAAAAGACATGGAAAGCACATAGGAAAACCAACCAGGAAACCCAAAAATACGAAGCCAACAACACGAAAATCACATTGGGGCCTAGAGCCAGTTTTGATCGCAACAAGGCTCACAAAGACAAAGAGCCAAGGGTAACCCATTTAAGAAAGATGGAAAGCACCTAAGGCACAAAGAGCACAGAAGAGACGGAAACAAAGCAAATCAACTTAAGATGAGAATTTTTTGACACCAAGGCCCACGAGAAGACACAAAGAGCACAGAATGGACACAAGCAAGGAAAACCCTTTTGAAAAGAATGGAAAGCACCTGGGAAAATTGACACGGCAACCCCAAAAGTATGAAACCACGCTTTTGGGCAGACAACGCACTGGATCAAGGCTAACCTACTTGAGAAGAGGCGAAAACAAGGCAAGCCAACTTAAAAGACATGGAAAGCACATAGGAAAACCAACCAGGAAACCCAAAAATACGAAGCCAACAACACGAAAATCACATTGGGGCCTAGAGCCAGGTTTGATCGCAACAAGGCTCACAAAGACAAAGAACCAACAGTCTAAAATCACATTGAGGCTTAAAGCCAGGTTTTTAGCAACAAGGCTCGCAAAGACAAAGAACCAAGAGTAACAAAAAGGATGGAAAGCACCTGACGCACAAAGAGCACAGAAGAGAGGGAAACAAAGCGACCATTAGTGAACTTGGCCATTTCGTGACTCACCTTCGGAATGGTGCCTCTCGGGGTTCCGTGTTGTTGGTGGCTCTCAGGGTGGTGCCTTTCAGGGTTGGAGGTGGCGCCTTTCAGGGTTGCAGCCCGCCGGTCTCCATTGACCAGGTCTCCTGGCTTACATATATCTCTCTCTTTGTTTATACTCTACCCACGTGTGTCGCTCGATGAGTCACTGCACGCATCGTCACTTGGCAAAGACCGCGGTCCGGCATCGAACAAAACCTGCACGTCGCGACCGCGCCCGCTCGCCTCTCGCTTTCCGTTGCTTGCCGGACTGGTTTGCAGACCGTGGGTTTTTTGGGCATATTCGAAGGTGCATAAAACATGGTAATTTTCAGTAAAGAGTGGCTTTGTGCGGGTTTGTGTTGAGCTTACTTGCCTTCAAAAAGTTGCATTTTACCTGCACGGGAGACAATGTTTGAGGTGTTTCTTGTTTTCCGGCATTCAAAGGCTTTGAAGGGCAATGTGCATAAAACACTGGTAAAAACAATGAAATATGAGGTCCGACAAGTGTAAGGAAGGTGTTTTTGTGAGCTTCTTTTTGTCATTTGTTTGCGTATGAAAGCTTGCTCTAATGGGTGGTCAAATTTGGGGTATGCTTGCGTCAATCTTCGGCGATCTTGGTGCATTCTTAGGGCATGTCCTTTTCCATATTGGCACGTTTCACCCGATGTTGGGGCTCTAGATCCCGGCTATGTTGAAGGCTTTGCTGCTCTTATGTTATTTGTTTTGCGGCCATGTTGGTCCACTTGGCAGCTTTGTTATCTGCCGTTTGACTTGAGCAGGTGGTCTTTTGTGTAGTGTGCGTAAAACGCCGTAAAAACATTGAACACATGAGGTCCGACAAGTGTAAGAAAGGTGGTTTTGTCAGTTTATTGTGGTTTTTTGTTTTTGTTGCTTGCGAAAGCTTGCTCTAATGCGCGGTCAAATGGCATGTTTGTGCCAATCTTCGGCGATCTTGGTGCATTCTTAGGGCATGTCCTCTTCCATGTTGGCACGTAAATCACGGGGCTCTCTTGAGGCTTCTCGGGGAGGTATGTTGGAAGTGCGGGGTCTAGATCAGGCCTGTGTAAGAAAGGTGGTTTTGACAGTTTTTTGTCGGCTTTGTTGCTTGCGAAAGCTTGCTCCAATGGGCGGTCAAATTTGGGGCAGGTGTGCGCCAATCTTCGGGGATCTTGGTGCATTCTTAGGGCATATCCTTCTCCATGTTGGCACGCTTCGCCAAATGTTAGGTCTTTCTTGAGGCTTCTCCTGGGGGTATGTTGGAGGTGATCGGGGCTGTGGGATCTATGTTGAATGTTTTTCTGCTGTTACGTTACTTTTTCTGACAGACTTAGGTCCGACGAGTATAACAGTATAAGGTTACTTTTTTTGAGGCCATGGTGTTTTTTGCTGCCAGTCTGCGGCTATCCTGGGGCATCTGCTTTATCATATTGGCAATTTTCACCCATTGTTCACCAGACACGTTGTGGGCTCTGTTGGGGATGTGGTGCTGCTGTTCCGCTTTCCGAACTGGTTTCCAGTTGAGTACAAGGTTGAGATTTGCAGAGGAAACGGGCTGAAGGACTTCAGGTTGGATATGGTCATTTCAGAAAAGGTTGTGACGTGAACAAAGGTCGTAGGTTCAAGGCACCGACGAATGGCAAAATGTTTACACTAGCCAGGATGAGACTGAGCTTCAGGGCGTGGCGTAGTGTGGGACGTGCGTCAGCTCACATAGTGAAATCCGGTAGTTGCAGCGAGAACAACTTTTTATGCATTCAAGGCTGCTTTATGACAAAGTCCACCAGTCACAGTCACGTGGAGTCAGCAAAAACCCAGCCTGTGATGATTATAGCAAGCCAGCATGGAGGTGCGCGGTGCAAAATACTTTCTTTTCAATCGGCCACAAGTTCACAGAGTAAAGGCTTACAGCAAAGTTAGCGTTAGCTATATTCTGTACTTGCTCAAGGATGACTCTCTTTCAGCCACTTTGCAAACAACCCTGTTGAACATTGGTATCACCCCTTCAGGCATGCTTGTTGCAAACCTACAAGTGCGCACTTCCGACATACAATTTACAGCTCACGATTTCGAACATACCCACCAATCTACCTGCGCAAGACAAGTTTACTATTCAGTTCCTCTAATCTGCTCTGCCTTGCGGCTCAATGCTTCGCCATGGTGCACCCTGCTGGTTGGGTACAAGGCACCGGCGACCAGGCGCCGCACATGCAAATCGAAGCTGAAGTAAGTTGGACGGCGGCTGAACTTTGGGAGGAAAGGAGGGTGGGCAAGTTACATCATGTTACATCCTAGATTCAGTTGGACCAATCTCTTGCAAAACTCCGCTGGATGATGTATCCGTGCTGAGCAGATTCAGTTGGACCAATGTCCTTCAAAACTCCGTGGGTGATGTATCCGTGGTGAGCTGTAAGGCGGCCGACGCACTGACACTCCGCGCTGGAGGGTTGACACCGGATGTGTCTTTGTCGTTCTGCGGGTTACATCCAGAAGCGGAGGCCTGGGTGCTTGCGTGACATTTATAATTGGCGGAGTCCAGCAGCAAATGGCCCCGAAGTGACGATGAAAACAGCATTGCATCATGGGTGTTTAGGTTCGGTATGGCTGATGTGTTGCGGGATCGGTTCGATTCGGTTCGGTTAGGTTGCGCGTGATCTATTGAAAGAGTTTTCGGTTGCAGGCGTCGAACGCAAAAACCAGGCTGTCTGAGGCGTTCGGATGAACATCTGGAGCGATGAGAACAAACCTTCCCGCGGTGCGACTCGCGACAGTATTTTCCTAAAAGTGTTACACCGGAGTGAATTGGCGCAGCTCTAACAAGAATATGGGGATCATTCCAACAGATGGCGCAAAACACACTCAAAAGCCAAGAGGTCTGAGCAATGCGAATTGAGCGGCTTCGGGGTGGATGTGCCGATGGTTTTGAACACGCTTTCGAGTTTGTTTTGGCCTGCCAAAACAAAGGCCGTGCCGTCCCAAAACAGAAAAAAAACTTTCCTGCCCCCGCGAAAGTTTTCTCCTTACATGCTGTTTCTTTGAGCTTTGGGGTGGTCGGGTCTGTTCGTTGGGCGCCAGAGTTTGTCCACCTCCCCCGCCCGTTGGCCAAACGGTTGCCCAGCTGGCCCTTTATCACCCTTTATCCCAACCGTCCACCGCCCTGGCTCGATCGCCCCGCGTCGTCGCCTTAAGCCCTCGCCGACCACAAAAATATTTGTAAACACAGAAGTTGAACTGTGCTGGGGCTTGTCATACCCAAGGGGGTTGAGCAAAGACCCAGAAGGTAGCCTTTGATCACCGAGCGGGCTTCTTTGCGTAAACCTTTACTCTTGGGGTTGAGTCGGTTGCGGCACAGTTGCTGCGTAGATGCTTCGGTTCGGTGTCGGTTTGGTAGTGTACGCAGCTTGTAGTTTGGTCTCAGCTTGTGCTCGGTTCTGCAACATCGTTGAAATATGGCCTGAAACAGCCATGTGCATCTGTTCCTGATCCGCTAATGTTCCAACTGAAATTTTCTTGGCAAGAGCCCCCAAACTGCGCTCATCAAAACAAAAAAACAGCGCGGGCGCACCAGAGTGCGCACAAGCAGGGCGCAGATGTGAGGGAGTACACGCATCTCTACATGAGAGCAAACATGTGAGATCACATATGATACGGCAGAGTCACAAGAGTATGAGAGCGCAAGTATGAGAGAGCACAGATATGAGAGCGCGCGTGTGAGAGCGTGCAGGTGGGGCGCACGAAGTTCAAAAAGGGCAAAGAGCGCAGTCGAGGAAAGCGCCCACTAAGGCCGACTAGTTTGGGCAAGCCGCGGGCCTGCGCAATCAAAATATACTTTAAAGAACTTGCGTGCTGCAAGGGTCGTCATAAAATCTGCCGCCGATGCCAGCCAGGGCCCATGAAACCACGCCCACAGCATGTTTGGAGAAGAATCGCCAAGTGCCTGGTGACCCAATACACTCGAGTCTCACTTGGGAAGTTCTTATGCCCTCTTGAGCTGCTCGCGCGGCCTCGGAGGGACCTGCCGCTCTCCGAGTCCTTTGCCAAGTCCACCGAGTCTCCTTTGCGGGCGCGGCGAATGGCAGGAGATCACGGGGATGTTGCTCGACCCTTTCTCACCACCCATCCAATAGCCACCCCGACATGGAACTCCTGGTATGATTTTGGTTCCCAAAAGCTCCACAAGCTCTACAGCCATTGCACAATCTACACAATGTGATGTGAATTACCGTCCTTTGTTCTTCCAAGTACCTAACGCTGGAGAGATTTCTGCGCGTTTGCGCCCGTGGTGGGTGCCTTTGTGGCATAAGATGGTATGCTCTGCATGTTGATTTGCTCTCGACATTCCTCTCAGTGGCATATAGTTGCTCAGGTATTCCCATAACGCTCGATTCAATTTTGTGTTTTTTATATTTGGTCTAGTTTGCGCGTATGCTCCTCTCAAGAGGCGGTTATGTAAATAAATCTCTGGACTGCACCGAACTGAGAGCCGACAGTGGATCCAAAAGGAAAGATGGCTGAATGACCAGAATTCGATGCACCATGAAAGCAGAGTACAGTCTACCGGTTTCTTTGTGCAAGAAATGTGTGCCAAAGTCTTGACAAGCCCCCAAGCGCCTGCCGGAGTGCTCATCTAAGAAAGGTAGAAACCTTGTAGGCCGCCCGTGTTCACTTTTTTGCGCTGAAAAACCTAAATATATACACCCTTGATCACCCTTGACAAATCATCAAAGCAATCCAACGGCCATCAACCCTTTAAAAACCACCCTAATTGACCATTTGTGTAGCCCACAGGCCCGCAAGAGACCATGCACCAACCGGCCACGACGACCCGCACCTTGTGCAGGATGCGCAGTCTCGATGCTCTGCAGCCAGATTCCCGAGTGGTCTGCGGTGGCGTGGGCCAAGGCACTGCGTGGACAGTCCTGGTGCAGCGCCCTTGGAGCACTGAACACCTTGGAGAAGCAATGGGTTCAGATCGACGTAGCCTCTTGGAAGGAAGGTGTGAATTTCTTAGTTGGACATCATTGAAAAAATCATTGTTGCGCTTTTCCCGTGCGAATGCCCGCTTAAAGAGAAAATCGGACAGCCCGGTTGTTGTCTTAAAAAACGAAATCAGTAAGAAAACAGGGCGCAATGGGCCAACCTGTACCCGGGCGTTGGCGTTCTTCAAAAGTGTGTCGACCGACCCTGATTTTTGTTTTTGAAGCCTTGCTTTTGATGAGCAATATTGAGTGCGATTCTTGACATACAAAGTCAGAGCTGAAACTGGAAGCAATGGCTGTCCATGTAACATTAAAAGTCTATTGACAAATATTAGATAAACATGAACAACATAAAACATATTAGTACGAATAAAAGTTACACCACCGTAGACCCCAAACAGGTGGAACAACAACGAAGCATTCCCAAGTCACTTTTTGAGACATCAACAAGAAGGGAGACAAGAAGGGAGACAAAAGGAAACAGAAGGGAGACAAGACGGACACAATGACAAGCAAGAACGGAGACAAGCAATAAGACAAAAGGAAACAGATGGGAGACAAGACGAACACAATGACAAGCAAGAACGGAGACAAGAAGGGAGACAAAAGGAAACAAAAGGGAGACAAGACGGACTCAATGACGAACAAGAACGGAAACAAGAAGGGAGACAAAAGGAAACAGCAGGGAGACGAGACGGACACAATGACCAACAAGAAGGGAGACAAGAAGGGAGGCAAAAGGAAACAGAAGGGAGACAAGACGGAGATTGGGGAGGCAAAAGGAAACAGAAGGGTGACAAGACGGACACAATGACCAACAACAATGGAGACAAGAAGGGAGACAAGAACAAAACAAGAAGGGGAACAAAAGGAAACAGAAGGGAGACAAGGCGGACATAGTGACTCACAAGAAGGGACACAAAGGGAGACGGAAGGGACGAGGCGGACACAATGACCAACGAGAAGGGAGACAACAGGAAACAGAAGGGAGACAAGCCGGACACAGTGACCAACAACAATGGAGACAAGACCAGAAGGGAGACAACAGGAAGCAAAAGGGAGACAAGGCGAACACAGTGACCCACAAGAAGGGAGAAAGAAAAGACAAGGCGGACGCAATGACAAACAAGAAGGGAGACAATAGGAAACGGATGGAAGACAAGACAGACACAGTGACGAACAAGAAGGGAGACAAGACCGGAGACAAAGGTAGACAAGACGGACACTATGCCAAGAAGAAGAAGGGAGAGAATAAGGGCGACAAAAGGAAACAGCAGGGAGAAAAGGCGGACACAGTGACCCACAAGAATGGAGACAAGACCAGGGAGACAAGGCGGACGCAATGACCAACAAGAAGGGAGACAAAAGCAAACGGAAGGAAGACAAGACGGAGACAAAGGGAGACAAGAAGAAGGGAGAGATGCATCGCCCACGGAAAAGGGCGGACACCAAGCAGTGACAGACCTGGGACACACATGAATAGAAATACGCCAGCAGCAACAGACCTGGGAGACAAATGAATAATATAAATGCGACAGACCTGGGAGACAAATGAATAGAAGTGCTACATGGCTAGCGGAAAAGCGCGGACACCACCAGTGACAGACCTGGGAGGCAAATGAATAGAAATGCTGCATGGGCAGCGGAAAAGGGCGGACACTACCAGAGACAGACCTGGGAGTCTGGGGGACAAATGAATAGAAATGTTACATGGCTGGCGGCAAAGGCCGGACACCAGGTGACGGACCTCAAAGACAAATGAATAGAAATGCTACATGGCCAGCGGAAAAGGGCGGACACCAG